GTACCAATTGGTACTAAATATTTTCTAAAACAGTTATTAAAATTTTTATAAATATGAAGAAAAACTTCCTGAAACAATTAATTTTTCGAAAGAAGAAGAGATTATTTTAGAATTGTGGAAAAAAATGTGATACATTTCAAAATTCTTTAAGATTGTCAAAAGGAAGACCAAAATATTCATTTTATGATGGTCCACCGTTTGCTACTGGATTACCTCATTATGGACATATACTTGCAGGTACAATAAAAGATATTGTAACAAGATATGCTTATCAATCTGGTTATCATGTGGAAAGACGATTTGGCTGGGATACTCATGGTTTACCTGTTGAATTTGAAATTGATAAAACATTAAATATAAAAGGTCCTGATGATGTTATGAAAATGGGAATAGGAAACTATAATAAAGAATGTCGAAATATTGTAATGAAATATGCAACAGAATGGGAAATAATTGTAGGTAGAATTGGTAGATGGATAGATTTTAAAAATGATTACAAAACATTATATCCTTGGTATATGGAATCTATCTGGTGGGTTTTTAAAGAATTATACAATAAAGGTCTTGTATACCAAGGTGTTAAAGTAATGCCATATTCTACTGGTTGTAACACACCTTTATCTAATTTTGAATCAGGACAAAATTATAAAGATGTTATTGATCCTTCCATAGTTGTATCATTCCCATTAGTAGATGAACCAGGTGTTTATATTCTTGCTTGGACTACTACACCTTGGACTTTACCCAGCAACTTGGCTCTTTGTTGTAATCCTATTTTTGAATATGTAGAAGTTAAAGATCACTCATCTGGTAATATTTATATTATATTAGAATCAAGTTTAGAACTTATTTACAAATCTAAAGATTTATATACTATACAAGGTAAAAGAAAAGGATGTGATTTAAAAGGAAAGATTTATAATCCTCCTTTCCCATATTTTCAAAATTTAAGAAAAAAGGGTGCTTTTATAATATTAAATGATACATATGTCACAGCAGAAACTGGTACAGGTTTTGTTCATCAAGCTCCATATTTTGGAGAAGATGATTATCGATGTTGTTTGGAAGGTGGTGTAATAACAAGAGATCAAGAAATTATATGTCCTATTGATAGTTGTGGATGTTTTATAGAACCAGTATATGATTTTGTTGGAAAATATGTAAAAGATGCTGACAAAGATATTATTAAGTATCTTCAGACACATAAAAGATTAATTCATAGTGGCACTATAAAACATAGTTATCCATATTGCTGGAGATCTGATACACCATTGATATATAAAGCTGTACCTTCATGGTTTATTAGAGTGGAAGCTATAAAAAGTAAACTTCTTGAAGCAAATAGTAATACATATTGGGTACCAGATTATATTAAAGAAAAACGATTTGGTAATTGGTTAAAGGATGCTCGTGATTGGGCTATTAGTAGAAACCGTTATTGGGGTAATCCAATTCCTCTATGGATATCAGAAGATGGACAAGAAATTGTATGTGTAGGAAGTATTGCAGAATTAGAAGAATTAACTAATACAAAAATAACAGATATTCATAGAGAAAATATAGATCATTTAACTATACCATCAAAACGACCAGGATATTCACCTTTACGACGTATACCTGAAGTATTTGATTGTTGGTTTGAATCTGGATCAATGCCATATGCACAAATGCATTATCCTTTTGAACATCAGAAAGAATTTGAAGAAAATTTCCCAGCTGATTTTATTGGTGAAGGTATTGATCAAACTCGTGGATGGTTTTATACTCTTTTAGTTATATCAACAGCTCTTTTTGGGAAAGCACCATTTAAAAATTTGGTAGCTAATGGTTTAATACTTGCATCTGATGGACAAAAAATGTCTAAACGTAAAAAAAATTATCCAGATCCTGTGGAAATTATTAATAAATATGGAGCAGATGCTCTTCGTTTATACTTAATTAATTCTCCTGTTGTTAGAGCAGAAAATCTGCGTTTTAAAGAAGAAGGAGTTAGAGATATTATAAAAGATGTTTTTTTACCTTGGTACAATGCATTTAGATTTTTAATGCAAAATATTGAAAAATTTGAAAGAGAAGAAAAAATTACTTTTGTATACGATGATTTTAAAAATGTATGTTCTAGTAATATAATGGATAGATGGATTTTATCTTTTACACAAACATTATTACAATTTTTCAAACGAGAAATGCATGCTTATAAGTTATATACTGTGGTTCCTCATTTAATAAAATATATAGATAATCTTACTAATTGGTATGTAAGAATGAATAGAAAACGTATAAAGGGAGATAGTGGTGTAAATGATTGTCAACAAGCTTTGACAACCTTATTTTCTGTTCTTTATATAATGGTACGTGTAAATGCACCATTTACACCATTTTTAACAGAATTTATGTTTCAACGTTTGGTTAAATTACTTCCTCTATCTAAAACTAATATGGATAGTGTTCATTATCAAATGATACCAGAATCTAATTCAAAATTAATAAATGAAAAAATTGAAAAAGCTGTATCTTATATGCAAACTGTAATTGAATTAGGACGTGTTATAAGAGATAGGAAAACAATTCCTGTTAAATATCCGTTACCAGAAATTGTAGTAATTCACCAAGATGCTGAAGTATTGAAAGAAATAAAATCTTTGAAATTATATATTCTTGAGGAACTTAATGTAAAAGAGTTAACTGTTACTACAGACAAGGAAAAATATGGTGTTAAATTAAAAGCAGAACCAGATCATAAAATACTTGGAGCTCGTCTTAAAGGAGAATTTAAATCTGTTACTCAAGCTATTAAAGAACTTTCTGATGAAGAATTGCAAGTTTTTGTTGCAAAAAAAGAAATTATTATACAAGGTCATAAATTAGGAGAACAAGATTTACGACTTATGTTTAGTTTCACAGGCCCAGCAGCTGAAAAGTTGTCAAAACAATATGAAGCTCATAGTGAAGGAAATGTGTTAATTTTACTAGATGTTACTCCTGATGAAAACATGCATAATGAAGGAATGGCAAGAGAAATAATCAATAGAATTCAGAAACTAAGAAAGAAAGCTCAATTAGTTCCATCTGATGAAGCCATTGTATATTATGAAATACAAGATCAAAATAGTAATTTGGCAAAAATAATTATCAGTCATAAAGAGTTTATTGAAAATGCAACTAAAACTCCACAAGAAAATATATCGAAAATGTCAAATAATGCAAATATAATCATAGAAGAAATGCAAAAAATTAAAAATATTGACATGAAACTTATTTTAGTAAAACCTGATATTGAAAATGATAAAGAAAATGTAGAACCTTTCTTAAAATACGTAAATATTGAACTTATAGGTATAAAGCCAAGATTTGGTGCAACTAATTGTATAGGAACTGTATTATTAGAAACTCCTAACACATTAGTTCCTATTTCTTACAAACAATTAAAATATGAAATTCAATTAATATTTGGTATTTATGGTTGTGCTTATAATTTATATGTTAATAATAAACCACTATCGGAAGAAACGAATATTTTATCATTGCATCAACAAACAATAAAAGTAATAAAAGTAGGTTTAGTTATAACTCAATCATTTTCAGTATTAAAACATCCTGTTTGTAAATTCATTAATATCAATAGCATTTTAGGAAAAGGTACTATTCTTTTAGAAAATCCAAAAGGAAACTTTAATTTAAATAATGCAATGTTAAAAGAACAATTAAATATCTTTTTTAATAAACTTAATATTTCTGAACCTATACCTGAGGTATTAAACGAATTTTGGGGAAAAACACTTCAATTAAGTTAATTTCTATTTAAAAGTGATTTTTCATTAATTATTTATTTTACATACGTACATCATCTTTAAAATGTTTTTCAAAATTTTATAATTTCATTCAAATTTAAATTGAAATTCATATTAAATACTAATTCTACAAACTATACATTGTATATTTAAATTCTGGATTGGTAATATAATTTTATTCACATATTATATTTATTTATTTTATATAAGAATTTATAAATCATTCAATTTTGTGAAAAATTGTAATTACATCATTTTCATAATAAGAATTAATAAAAGATTATTATTATAAACTATATAGTATACAAATATACCTTTTTTCATTGAATTCAGAATTTTTTTTTATTTTTTAATTCTGTTAAATTCGGATGAAAAATAATTTTTATTTACATAAAGTCAATTGAACTATAAAAATCGCTAATATGTGAAAACGCCAAGTAACTATTTATTTCATATTCAATAAAAATTGTGATATTATTATATAATTTGATTTTTTTACCACTATAGTACAGTCTATTACAGAAATAAGGATAAATCGACAACATTTGTCAGAAAAAATAACAAATTTCCTTTTTTGAAAGTAATATAAACTGTATGTTTTAATAAATTATAATTTTATGATTGCTTAATACATTATAAGTTATATGTATATATACACATTGTTAATAACTTTTATTTTTTTTTTAACAATTCATGTAATAATGCTCCAAAAAACATTAGTGTTATGTAATTTCCATTCTAAAGTTAGAAACTTTGGAAGATTTATAAAAAGTATAATAATTTTGTTTCAATAATTGCAATTTATAATAGTATATTCAAGTTTATATATAAATCAATTTAATAGTAATTTTTAAATTCAATAAAAATATTATAAATATGTAAATATATAATAAATTTTTTGTTGAAAATGATATAGCATTATTGCAAATTGTCATTTGTAACATTTATTATGACTAATTCAACAAATGAATAATATTTATCAAAATTAATTTCGCAAATATATTTAAATGAACAAATATTGGCTAGTTATCAAAATATTAATTGTTTGAATTTATAAATTTAATATTATATACGTTCCCTTTTATAATTATAGTTTTTTATAAATCCAAGGAAATTTCCTTTGTAAATATAAATTAAAATTTTGAGTTAAAAAAAGAAAAAATGCAGATAAATTGATTTAAAATTTGAAATGCAAATCCATACTATCTAAGTATATTGATATATTATTCATATGAATTCCTTTATACATTGATAAAAATCACAATAACTCTTCACGTTCTCTTTTATGTCAGGAATCAATGTGTTTAAATGATGTTACACTGAAAACACACATTAATGTTTACAAAATCATATTTCAAAATAATATCTTTAACTGTTTCTTTGCTATAAGTTCACGCAATATTTCTGATGTTGCATTGTTGATTGAAAAAGAAATTACTAGCTAATGACATAATATTAAAGCTACTGACATTGCGAAAATTGCAGTGAGTGCATATAATGCGAGAGTTGTACTCGCGGTAAAAAATTGAGCATAATGATATCGGGAATACCAAGCGAAACCTAACATGACAGTCAAAATGACTACTAATGGTCTACTCAAATCCCATTCATTATGCACAGAACTAATTCCTGTGCCAACAGGAATATCAGAAAATGATTGAGGGTTAAAATAAATTGGTGATGAATTGTCTAATGTTGATGTTTGAGATGATACAGGATTTGGTCGTGGTTGATGAACCAAACAATGAACTACACAATTGTTATATAAGCCACATCTTTCCAATGTTTGATTGTCAGGCTGTAGTACTCGACCATTAAAAACTAAACGCACTAATTTTTGTGCATCTAACTCTGTTTGAAAATGTCTCCTGAAAATATATAATTATGTATTTTATTTTATTATGTTACATCACATATTTTATTTATGAATTAATAAAATTAATAAATTAATAAATTTTATATAAATATTATTATTATAAAAATTAATAAATACCTTTTAAAATCTCCAAGCAATTCTTTTAAGCTACCAGTAACCATTTTTTGATCATCATTTATAAACTTAAGCTTGATGCTAATTTCATTAGCATTTGTTGTTGAAAGAGTTTCATGTTCATGTTCTATAGAATCGTTACATGTTGATGTTGATATACTTGTTTCTTTAGAAGAGCTTAATTTGGTTTGCTTTTGTAATTTTGTTGTACAATCATTATTAAATGAATCCATAGCTTCAATAAGTACTTCTTCTGTAGCTGTTGCTTCAGATGTTCTATGTGTGTCAGGAGAAATTTCTTCATTTGTGTCTATTGTGACAGACAATAAATAATTCTAATATTTTTATTATGTTCTTAGAAGTATTTTAAATAGGACATATCACCTGCAATAGATGGTTCAGGACAAGCTTGTGAATTGCCATTATTATCATCTGCAATTGGTTCTATTGTTTCTTCTTCAGTTACCTCCAAATTTGGAGGTCGTGTAAATGAGCTTGCATTTTGATGATTAGCTCTAAGTTCAGCAAGACGTGTGCGTGTTCTACGTAATACAAGTACTGTGCGGATTAATGGTTGATCTGTAATACTTGTAGAATACCATGCAAGCCATCCTATTAAGAGGACAGCCACAACAATAAAAAAATCTGTTACTTCATCTCCAACACCCTCGATTAAAGTCATTTTTATGATGTAAGATTAACCTGTATAAAGAAATATAAATATATAGTAAAAAAAAATAATATTATTATAAAAAGTGAAAAAAATAAATAATATTTTGTAATAATAAATAATTCATGAAAAATATTTATATTCATGATTATGTTTATTGCAATAATATTTTAATAATGAGAAACAATTAAAATTATATTATTTAACTTTGTATAAAATAACAATATTATAATTTTCTTAAAAATTTTATACGCATATACTTATAAAAAAAATAACCCTGATTGCGTTTCAATATCTTTAAAATGAAATCAATAGTATTTTTCTATATAAGTTATTGTATAGGAACAAATGTGTAAGATAAGACAAATAACACTTTGAAAAACTACAATATATTTGCATTAATTTTTTAATGTTTTTTTAATATAATAAACGAATATTATTATGCATCTCAAGAAAATATACATAGAAATAATATAATTTCATATTTTTTCATCTTATAAAATAAAATTTTCATTGCTATATAATCCTTTATCTATTTTATAATTATTTATCCTCACCTTAATTTTTATGAATTAGACACAACAGAAGAAAATTAAAGATTCGCTAAAATCACTTATAAAAATCTCATCTGCAAATATCTAAAGATGACGCAGATAATTTATGACAACCAGCGACATACGCGATCTAGTTCATATAATTAATAAAAATATGCAACTCTACAAGGCGCGAATTCTTTTTATAATTTCAAAATATATAATATGCAAATAGAATAATTATTAATCAAAATATTTTTTATGTTTATGTCGTACAAAATAAAATAAAATGATAATGAATTATATCATAATAATATATTCTTATATATATATATATATATATATTTATTTATTTATTTGCTTGTTTAAAAAATTTTAAATAAATTAATATATCTATCATTTATTGCAGATTTTTATATTTATATCATATTATTTTATTGAAAAATTAATATTATTAAATGTATTATAAAAAATAAATATGTGAACATAAATAAAAACGATAATAAATTTAATATTTAGTTTATTTAACAATAGTTTTTTAATAAATAAAAATATGTTATGTTATACTTATTAAATTCATAAATATATTATTTTTAAATTAAAAAAATTTTTGAATTAAAATATTTTACTATGAAAAACGGAAAATAGATACATATATGATAAAAATATCATGTGTCATAATATTAATAATATATATATAATGAATATAAAATATCTTATCGTTAGATATAAGTAGATAAGTATATAGTAAGATTAGTAAGTAAGTATTTAGTTCGATTTCAATTACACGTCAAAATGGCTGAGTTAATCGCAGTGCCATTAAAAAAACCGTCTGACGTTGATGTAATTAAGCCGCTTACAAATGTTATTAAATCAACATATAATAATCAAAAAGATTATACAGAAGCAATTGCAGATTTTAGTAAATTAAGAAACAATGCATTATGGCGAGCTTTTGAGAAATATGAAAGTTCTTTAGAGGTTATATACAGGTATGAGTCATTTTTAATTAAAATAATATAATAAGAAATATAAATATTTCATTGTATTCTATTTTTTAAAAATGTGTTTATTATAATATATAATAAGATAATTTTTTAAAATGATAAATAATCTGATTAGTAATATTTAAATTTGTATTTTTGACGTAATTTAATAGAATATTTGAACATTTATCTTTTAAAATATAATGAATATAATTATTAATTATTATTAATAATATATAAAATTTTATTCAATTAATAATCATTTCTTAAATAAAAATTTTTTTTTTTTAGTTACTATGATCAATTATGTGCATTAGAAGGCAAGATACCTGCCCATGAATTACAAATTCCATTTAAATGGAAAGATGCATTTGATCGTACTATATTTGGTGGAAAACTCAGTTTGAGTAAGATTTTTTTAATATATTATTATAAAATTATATATATTTTAATATATTACTTTTATTGTTTATTGGATTTTAAGTAATTAACAAATACATAGATAAGATAAGATCATTATTGATTGCTCCCAAAATTAAATTTTTGATATTTATTTTATAACATTCATATTTAAAATAAGATATGATATTTAATATTTTCAGCTATTAGTACATTGTCATATGAAAAAGTATGTGTATTATTTAATATTGCTGCTTTACAAAGTTCAGTTGCAGCAGCACAATCTTTAGAAAGTGATGAAGGATTAAAACTAGCTGCAAAATTGTTTCAAGTAAATATAAATTCCATTAATTATATGAGTGAATTGATCAAAAAACTAATTTTTCATGGATTTTAATGAATTTCAAATTTTAATCCAAATTGTTGCAGATGCATATGCATTCATTTATATATATATATAAATAATATAATATAATATAAAATATAAATATAAAAAATATATAAATAAATAAATAAAATTCAATACTATTAGCAATTATTATTTGTAAATATTTTTAAAACTAATTAATGATAGTATATATAGGAAAAAATTATTTAAAATCTTATCCTATATAATATATTTAAAAATCATAAAAATCCATGAAAATATTTGATAATTATCAAAAAATAATCTATTTAATTATTGTTAATTATAGCAATCTGCTGGTATTTTTAATTATCTTAAAGCAAATGTTATGATGGCTATTCAACAAGAACCAACACCAGATATTAGTCCAGAAACATTGGGTGCATTATCAGCATTGATGCTTGCTCAAGCTCAAGAAATATTTGTATATAAGGCAATCCATGATGCTATGAAAGATGGAATTATTGCTAGATTAGCTTCACAAGCAGAAGAACTGTATGCAGATGCATTAAAATTATTTCAAAAGGAGATTTTTCGGGCATTTTGGGATAAAGAATGGGTTCCTTTAGTATGAACTTACAATCTTACTTATATACAGAATTCATATAATTATATGTAAATAATTATATGTAATAAAATAATATAGATTGCAGGAAAACAAGCTGGATATCGTGCAATGACTGAATTTTATCAATCATTAGTATGCAAAAATAATAAGTTAATTGGAGAAGAAATAGCCAGATTAGAAGTAAATCTTAAAAGCTAAAAAATATAATTACGAAAATCATAAAAATAATTTAGATATAATTATAAAAATAAATTAAAATTAATTAGAATATATATTTTTAGCGTTCTGTTGAATTATTTAAAGCTGCGCAACAACGTTCAAATAAACCTCATTTATTTCAAGATTATGCTAATAGAGCTCAAAGAAATCTGACAGAAGTAAAAAAAGATAATGATTTTATTTATCATGAAAGAATACCTGATATAAAATCTTTGGAACCAGTTGGTAAAGCTTGTGTTGCAAAATTAATATCAATGCCTGAAATTTTTAGTTCAAATTTTAAAGGTTTGTTATATATAATATTAAATTTTTTAAATTATTTTATTAAATATAATTATTTTTTATATATTTTATGTTTATAGATCTTTTTAGTGATTTATTACCTGTTAGTGTACATCAAGCATTATCATCTTATGAAGTTCGTCGTAATGAATTAGTGAACTCAGAAATATCTAAATTACGAGAAATGACGCAAATTCTAAATGGGTATGTTAATTTTATAAATTTATTTAATGTTATTATTGTGTATATGTTATTATAATATATAATATTTAATTTATTAAATATTAAATTTATAATTCATATTCAATTATATTTTTAGTGTATTAGCAAGTTTAAACTTACCAGCAGCTATTGAAGATACAAGTGGAACTGATTTACCACAGTCTGTATTAGAAAAAGCTCAACATGTAAAAGAAATAGGTGGAATTAATGCATTGGAAACTTCTATGAAAGAATTACCTGATTTATTACAAAGAAATAAAGAACTTTTAGACGAGGTAAACAAATTTTCAAAATTTTTTTTATGTAATTATTAAATTTTTTATTTTTCTTAGTGTGAACGAATGCTTCAAGAAGAACGCGAATCTGATGATCAATTAAGAGAACAATTCAAAGATCGATGGACAAGAATTCCTAGTAGTCGTTTAACAGAACAATTTAATACTACTTTGCGAAAATATCGTGAAATTATTAATAATGCTGTGGCAGCTGATAAGGTATGAATATATATATATATATATATATTACTTTTTTCAGGGTATTAATATATTCGTATCTTAGTATCTTTAAAAAATTGATTCTATATATGAAATTTAATAGTTTATTTAATTTGTATAATTATATATATTGATATACAATAATTACATTTTGAAGGTTGTACGTGAAAAATATGAAAATCATAAAGAGGGTATGGAAATTTTGAGTTTAAATGAAAATGATTTAATTAATACTGTACCAACTGGATCAGCAGTTCAGGAAAGTAATGCTGTTATTCAACTTAGAAAGCTAATGGAAGATGTATGTGTTTTATATATAATGTTGTTTTTAATCATTTTCTTAAATTATTTATATCAATATTGATTTTTTTCCAAGGTTGAAACAATCAAAACGGAACGTGATGTTATAGAAAGTGAATTAAAATCTGCTACTACTGATATGAAAACAACATTCCTGTCAGCACTTGCAAAAGATGGCGGAATTGATGAACCAAATTTATCAATAGAAAGTATAGGAAAAACATATGGACCTTTACAGAAACAAGTGAGAGATAGTGTTTCTCATCAAGAACAATTGATTGCTGAAATTCAGGTAATATTTATTTTATATTAAGATATATAAGATATATGTTCTTGCGACAATTTTGCAGAATGGATTCTAGAAGCTAAAGATTTTCAATCTTTAATATAATAATATTGATAATATAAAAATTTTGATTGAAGTTTATTAAGTTATAAGTAATTGATTTATCAATTAATTTTAGAGACCAAAATCTTTAATATAATAATATCTATAATATAAAAAATTCGATTAAAATTTGATTGATTTATCGATTGATTTTAGACCAAAGAAAATGGAAATAAAGAGACTTTGATATTATTATATTGTCTTATTATATATTTTTATCTTGCTTCATTTAAAAAAAATTAAATTGCTCATAATTTAATAAATAAGTCCGAACCGATATTTTTGTATTCGATCTCCGAAATCGATGCTACAAGAACATTTCTTAAATATATTATTATCTTATATTTTAATTTCAAAATTTTTAGAAGTGTCATGCAGAATTTACAGCTGAACAATCTGGTAGCGGTAGTTCAAGAGAAGCAATGTTATGTAAACTAGCAGCTGCTTATGATGCATTTAAAGAATTGAAAGGTAACTTAAATGAAGGTGCTAAATTTTATAACGATTTAACACAGGTAAATATTAATTATATTTTCATTAAATTATAAATTAAATTAGTTATATTAAAATTAAAACTTATAATTTTTTTCATAGTTATTAGTAGTCTTCCAAAATAAAATATCAGATTTTTGTTTTGCTCGGAAAACTGAAAAAGAGGAACTATTAAAGGATTTGACAACAAATTTGAGTAAAACTGAATCAATTCCTTCTAACATTTTATCTCATCATGCAGGTATGAGATTATAATTTTATAAATAAAGTTACATATATATAATAAATTTTTAAAACTTAAAAATGTAGGGATGTCCGGACAAAAGCAATCGGGAACAGAACAAAGTGGAACATCGCAATTACCATATCCTACACATTTTCAAGGAATGCCTATACCTTATGGAGCTGGTCCTACTACACCATATCCTGCATATATCCCTCCTCCTATGCCTACAACATATAATCCATATGCAACAATGCCTTATCCCACACAAGGTAATATAAAAAATCATGCAAAATCATTCATTATTATATAATTTTCGAGACTTCTTATTTTTAGGAACTTATAATCCGTATCAAGGTATGCCTTCAGCTCCTTATGGTGGATATGCGACTCTTCCACGTTATGGCGGTAATCAACATTCTCATCAAGGACATCCATTTTGAAAAGCAAAAAATATTTTATATATACTGTGATTGCAAAATAGTCATGTGAAATTTACAAAAATGAGAAAAATGTATATGATATAATATTTGTGGAAATTAATGTGAAATATGTTTTAATCTGTCCAATTTTGATTAGTAAAAAAAATTATATGTGAATTAATTTTGAAGAAATTATATTCCTTGATTGTTGATACTTATTAAAGTTGAATTTCTATAAAATGTATCATATATATTAAGCTTTAAATCATGCTTCAAAAAAAATTTATAAATATATTTTGTAACATAATATAACATAATAATTCTAACAATCGTAATTATTCCATTGTTATTAATATTTTAATCTTTTTTGTATTTATAAACATATAGTTTTATGAATTCTCTAATAATATTTTTCTGCATAAGTACTACATTTATAATTGTGTACTTTATTTTAGAAATGTATATTATAACAATTTTTATTACAAATAAAATTAAAATCAACATAAAAAAATATAAATATAAAATTTTTTAATGTGTGTACTAAGGTAAATTTTATAAAAATTGAGGTTTTATTATTATTTGAATTGAATTTTAAATATATACTTATAATATATTTGATTTTAAAATTTTAAATATAATTAATAATATAAAGCAAAGAATAAATAATTTCATTCAATATATTTTATTTTTTATAATATTTTAAAATCATTGAAATTAGTAAAATGTGATTTTTTTTTGTCTTTTTTTCTTGATATAATTATTTTACGCTTGTATTTTATATTATAAATAATATCAATTTATGATTTTTTTATAAAGATGAATTTAAATATAATACGAAAGCTAAATTTATTTATATATATTGTTAATATATAATTGTAAATATTTACAATTTATATTTGTATAATATAGGTAACAGGTATAATATAATACAGCTATAATACAGGAATAATACAGTAACAAAATTTTTTTCAAATTTTTCAAAAAGAAAAATTCTTATAAAATTTCATATACTTATCTGCGAAATATTTGAATTTTAAATAATTTTTTAAATTTTAGAAATACTTATTTTTTTGTATATCTATTTCTTAAAATGAAATTTACTATTACTAAATGTTTTTTGATTAAATTTTTTTAATTCTAGAAAATTTAAATTATATTATTGATCTATATTATTTGATCTGACTGGCAATATGATTGATATATATATTTGCTTATTGCTATTGAATTCCATTAATTTATAATTAACATCAATTAACAATAACAACAATAATTAATGTTGTATTAATGTTAAATTAAATTTTAATTCCAATCACGATTAAGATTATAATTATTTTTTATATATTGAACTTAAAATAATATTTGTGATAAGAAAATTAAAAAAATTAAGAAAATCAAATGACTTTTAAATTTCTGTGTTATGAAAAAACATTACATATCTAACTTCTATCTATGATATATTATATTCTGCATTTATATTCTGTATTATAATTTATCTTATTTGTGCTTATAAATATGTATAAGCGTAAAAAATAATATGAATTAAAATTGTTTGTATTAATAATAATCCAAAATTGCAAAAGATTTCGTTTATTAATATAATATAATAATCATTTCAGTTTTTAAATATTCGAAATTATAAAATATGTACAATCAAATGGCCTAAGAAGTTTAAATACATATTAATATAATTTAAATATTTTTTTAAATATATACATAACAATAAATCTTATTCAATCATTGGCATTTCAGTCCTAATATGTATAAAATTATAAAAAATAATTTACTACATATTAATAACAAGCAATCATTATCAATTTCATTACGCTTGATTTTAGAATAGTATAAATTAAGATTATTTTTTTTTGAATTAGCAATATTCTTTTGCTATAATCTTTGCTTTATTAAGCATAGATTCTATATGTCGCGGTAATAGTGCTTGTAATTCAGACGACATTGACATATATTTAAAATTTAACAATCTTACCAAACCACTTTGGTAGCTAACTACCATCCATAGATAACTCCATGCATTCGGATTCCAAGATATCTAGAATTTTAATATCAGATAAAATTATAATATTAAAGTAATTAAAACAATATTATACACACATATTATATATATACATACTCTGTTTACTGACATAAATGGATATTCTTCAATTGGAACTTCTGATTCCTCTGCATACAACATTCGTTTGAACATTATTTGTTCATTTTCCTTAAATATAACAATGCAAATATTATTTATATAAAAAATAAAATATATGATATATATATATATATATATATATATATATATATATATATATA